ATAGTAAGACTAAGTAAGCGCATAATTTGTTTAGACCACATGGCGTATGCGTGATGTATGACAGGGAGAATGTGTAGAGACGGCCAACAGCTGCAATGGTTGAATTCATTAGGCGCATTAAACGCAAATTAAGCGATAAAACTGTAAGAAATTCATTAAGCAAATTCTCACAGCAGCAGCAACAACAACACCACTGCGCCCCCCACACCGACGCGTCGGCCGGACAGACTCACAAAATTGGCGAAAGGCAGCGGCAAAAAGGAAAGGCAAAACCGTTGACTTATCCATTGGCTAGACCGCTAGCCGACGGCGGCTTTTGCCAAAAACGTTGCGCAGGCGCAAGCGACTAAGCCAACTCAGAGACTTGTTGCCGGCGTGTGAACGGCCGTCTGTTGCCTTCGTACGCGCCTCTTGTAAACTACACGCATGTACAGACGTACTTTCGATAAAAATCACCCAAACAAATCAGAGGGAAAAGGCATGCCTATACTAGACGCATAGTCCCAGTCATAGCTACAGTAACAATTCCCTAAATGGGACGATCGAATAGAGCAATCATTTAATGAACTGATTCACTCTTATTTATTTGCTTTTCAACTCAGCCACATAGAGATTTGTTATTGCTTTCAGTTCATTTATTGCATACATCCTTTTCTCTCATTCTCGCTGTCTCTCTTTAAGAATCATAATCTTTCATCTTAATCTCTCTCTCTCTCTCTCTCTCTCTCTCTCATTTACTCCAATATTCAAATAGGCACATTTCTACGAGCAGTAGGAAACATTTTTCTAAATTAGCAAAAATGTAAACCTTTATTAAATATTTAGTTATCTTTTAATAATTCAGTATCCACTCGTAATCTTATCATATCGTTGTATGCTTATTTATAAGTCTACAACTATTTATCAGCTTAAAGAATAGAAATTTAATATTATTTTATATCTTAATTATTTACCATGCGATTAAGAAACTCTCAGGCTATTTAAATATTTTTTACACAACCACATACACAGAGTTTAAGAGGCCCTTTGAAATCGTAGTGTTATTTTTCGAAGAGGCATTTAGAAACATTTTTTGTTATTTAATTTACAATTGGAATATAAATATTGTATCCAATTTCAATAATTATTAAATTACAGAATCAAAAATATAAAAAATAAATCAAAATTACAATTAAAAATATGAATATTTAATCACTTCATTAGTTAAACGATTGTTTCTATTAAATGAACAGAAATATAAGCATTCTACAACAAAAACATTTTCCATTCAATACAAATTGACTTACGTATTTATTTAATTATTAAAAAATCATGAAAAATAAGAAAGTCGTATAGCAGAAATTTCGCAGAAGATATGTATATATATAAACCATAAATTCCAGTTTTTCCTACTGAGCATTTTATTTGGTATTTTGGAATGGCAATTGGGCAGTAGAGAGAGGGCGAGAGGGCGAGAGAGAGAGATTGAGTGAGAGAGAAAATCAGGAGCAAAAAGCATAAGTGATTTGGAAAAGGTCTGCTGGACATTCCTCAAGTTCTCCCAATACAAGAGTAAATGTCTTTAGCGAACTTAACTTCCATTATCTCTCAAGTGTTTCTCCACCAATATCTGTGTCTTATTCATTTTTTAAAACAACTATTTGTTGTTGGATGGCATGCCTTACTGTAGCACGGCCACTTAGATTCAGAGTGTTGGCCGCAAGCGCTTTTGGCGGCTTTTTGTTGTGGCTGCCATTAATTAATTGAGCGCGCGCCTGGATTGGCCTGCGCAGAGTGGCCTAAAACTTCCGTCAATCTTTTGTTTAGTCTGTTGGTTGGCTCTGGCTGTGGCAATGGAGCCGGCTTGTGGCTTCGGCAAACAAAATGCAGTAGCTGCAGAGATCTTGATCTTGCACTTGCCCAGCTCTTAGCTGCATAATTGTGTTGGCCAGGTTGAGGCGTTGCTTTGGTCACTGCCCACTGCCTACTGCCTACTGCTTACTGCTTACTGTCTACTGTCCACTGTTTGCTGTTAACTGCAACTGCGAACCTCCATTGGTACTAGGGGCTAGGTGACTGGGCTCGGATTGGGTTTGGTTCGCTTTGTTTCTAATGCGTAGCCAATATGGTTGCATGCTTGGTCCACTAATCGGCAACTCAATCAACGACTCCATGCTGTGAGATTAATGCAGAGACTGTCCATATGCTACTATAGTGTATGTGTCTCTGTGTGTGTGTGTGTGATATCGCGCATTTGATCTGCGTTAATCAAGTTAATTATTATTAATATTGCGTTTACTATTTGTACAGTTAGCAGGTTTCGAGCAGCAATTCAAAAAGTTGTCGCTGCCGCGGCAAATGTTTGTTAATGGCGTCGCCGCCGTGTCTGCCGCGTTGTCGTCACCAATCTACGGCCCTGGCTCCCCATTCCGTCCGGCCGGAGTCTGTGTACTTAGTTCTAACTGCTTTTTATCGATGTTCCGTAGGCGATGGCAAAAAGCAGGCAGGCAGGCAGGCAGGCAGGCAGTCAGGCTGCCCCATTCGCTGAGAAATGCAATTAAAGTCATTTGCTGTTGTCGTTGGCGACATCAAATGTTGCTGCCTCCGTCCGCTGTTGCTGCCACGCTGTTGCTGCCACATTGGCGGCGGCGGCGGTGCTGTTGCGGCACTTTTTGCATGCCTCGCATTTTGCGCTCTTTTTTATGCGCCGCCAAGAATGGCACAGGATGCGAGTGGCAAGGCACAAAAAAACAAAAAAAATGAAATGAGGAGAAAAAAAAACCGAGTCAGGCCAGTCGAAGCGGCAGTTAAAACCTCCTACTTTCCTGCATTTCCGTTCATAATGATCATGATGATTGCATGCGTGGCTGATGGGATTTGAATGTTGGCTGCCAACGCCGCCGCCACATACACACACACACACACACACACACACACACACACACACACACATATACATGTATATTAATGTGTGTGTGATTGTAATTTGCGGCCCCTGCATCGTGGGAGCGCCAGAGAGCGCACTTTTCCGCATAACAACTTTTCATTTATGAACTTGAAAAAACTTTTGACCGCAGGCTGTGGCTACTGCGCTTAGTTGTTGTTGCTGTGGTTGCTGTTGTTGCTGTGGTTGCACCTGTTGTGGTCACATAAGTCAGTCAGCCTGGTCCCAAGTCAGCTGATGCTGTGTTGATAAGCGGAGCTGAAATTGGCCAAAAGGCCGTGGCATGGCTCGTAAACAGTCAACTTTTGTCTAATAAATTCTTGCTTGCACTTGCACTCGAGCTGAGGAGGAAAGAATGTTAGCACTCGCATTATATTTTGAGCACTTCATCATCAAATGCAGCAAACACCACTACTACGCGTACTACTACTAGCTTGTGCCTTTTTTACGCGCAATTTACTTTTGCCAAAAGTCGCATAAATCGTGCCACTGAGCCGGCCAACCAGCCAACAAGCCAACAAGCCAACCAGCCAAGAGACAGCCAGCTATCCAAACAGCCAGCCAGCCAGCTTGCCTGGCAACCATCTGAGGAGCCAACTGAGGAGCAGCACCAGCAGCCAAGGTAAAATGCTACCCACAATGCGCACACAAAACACTTAAGTGCCATAAAAGAGATTTTTATTATGTCTTGCGCTCAAAAGCAAAGCAGAGGTAATTTTTTTTTGGTTTTTTTTTTTTTTTTTGGTATAAATGTAACAGGAGTTGTTGCAACGTGTGGCAGACTGAAGATGTTGCTGAGTACTTGTTGCTCTAGCAGCTCCATGAAGACAACGATGACGCTGACTATGCCTCATGTGTAGCTCACACATATATGTATATAACATATATATATATATATATATATATGTATGTGTGTGTGTGTGCAGCTTATGCAAATTGTGTGCTTATTGCTGGCAGACGAGGACGACGTCGCCGACGAGAATGACTTTGCCGCCAACGCCATCAAGTTTGTGGGTGTCAGAATCGCAATAGACTTGTTGCTTTTGTTGACATTTCATCAGCGTGCCAGAGACTTCTTGCCACATGCTGTGGCAAATTCAACTGCAACTGCACCGTGGCGAACATGATGCTAGCACAGATTTAATTACAGCCGCATTTTTGTCAGACTAATCCGAACTCATTTAAAAATCCATTCAAAATTTTGGAAAAATTGTTATACTAAATAAATGAAAGCAACATGTTGTAGTCATTAAAACCCGTATAGAGTAATTGTTTAAATTTTTTGGCATAAAAGCAGCAGATTTCTTGCTAGTATTTATTTATGATTCGAAGGTTAAATGCTGATAGACTGACTTATCTTAAGAGCTTTCAATCGGTTAAGAGTTTAATCCTGACCAGTGTCAGATGGAAGAAATATTAAAATCCTGTTTTTTGCTTAAACTTGAAAATGGTTTCAAAAATTTCAATTCACCTACCTATTAAATAATCATAAACACCTGACAAGGATTCGATTAGTTTGGAAAGTCAAAGATTGTAAATATGTCACATGCTTTGGCAATATATTTCATATGTTTTAGGAGTCGATTGAGCGGGACTATATGCACTTAGTTTCCTGAAAGATAAGTTGCTGAGTGAGTTGATTTTCCTCTTCACTCTTAGATTGAGTTCACATTTAAAGTGGAAGTACAGTAGTTATAGGAGACTACGCATTTGTATCTTAGTTAATATCTGCTCAAGTTTCAAGGCATATTTAAATAACCTACGGCTGGGACTACGACCAATTGTGCGGGAATATAAAGTAGGGAATGAGGCTAAGTAGTGGTTTCCCATTCAATAAATATTCAGATATCAACTAGCAAGATATTTTATAAAACCTAATGAGTCTTTTATGTATTATCCAACTCGGCTTTTGGACTTAACTCATATAGAACTGACTCGTAGTATATAGTATATAAATGCTGGTGAGTCCCATGGTGACTAACTGATTGACTGACTGATCTACTGACTGATTGAGTGACAGAGTAATAGTAGGCTTGGCACACGGCATCAGAGCCGGGCTCGATTTCTCAGACATCACATGTTCCATTTGCAAAACGTCTGGACGCTGCGGCTTTGGCTGTCGGTTCTGCTGATGCTGTGGACATTGGATGGCTGCGAAGGCAATTATTATCTGGCACACCCAAATGCCACAGAGCCGGAGGAAAGCGAACATCCTTATGCAAAATATGTGGTGTCCATTCAGAGCATTAGTCCAAAGATGAAGTCGAACAGAAGCGGCGGCCACTATTACTTTGGTGTCAATCATTATTGTGTGGGCACCATCATATCGCCCACCTATATTCTGACAGCCTCGCATTGCGTCTTCGACAACAGGTGAGATGACGACATAGTCTTCTAAAGCCAATCTAATAGCTTCCTTGCCATAAGCAGACTGCGGCGTCTGCTGCAGCCGCACGAGTTGCTCGTCATTGCCGGCACACCCAATCGGCTGCGACCCACCGTCCACACACAGGTGCTGAGGGTTCAGGGATTACGTCCCTATATGCGCGGCAAGATTGGTCACAAGCACGACTTGGCGCTGATGCGTTTGCAGGGGATGCTGGAGTTGAATCTCTCGCGAGCGCTGGGCATCGCGGAGATGGCTTTGCTGCCACCCCGACCCTTTTCCAATTGCACGGTACTGGGCTGGGGACAGTCCTTTGTGAGGGGACCCTTTGCAGAACTGGTCACGCAGCGCATCTTTCAACTGCAAACAGATCGGGCGTGCCACAAGATATTCCCCATTAGCTTCAAACATGGCATGATTTGCGCCACCGTGCATGCGGATGCGCCGCTCGATGTCTGTCGAGGGGATTCGGGCGGTCCGCTCTTTTGTGGCACCAAGCTCACGGGCATCGTGTCACGTGGCGTGCGTTGCGACAAAAGCTATCCGGCCATCTTCACCGGCGTCTTCTGGCATCGACACTGGATCCAGACTGTCTACTCTCGGGCCGGACGCAGCTGGCTGGCAAAATTATTGCTGGCTCTGACCATTTGGCGCTTTTCTAATTTGCTTGTTGATTAAATTTTGGCCATAGCGCAAAAAACGTATATTCATTAGACTTCATTAGTTGCAATCAAGCTGGCCAAATGGACAAGAAACAATTATCGCAGGCACGCCCGCTAGACTTTGACTCTGTCTGACTGGCTGCCCGCCTCTTCGCCTTTCCGCCTCTCCGCCTGTCGAACTGTCGGAGTGCCAAGTGCCACAAACGCCACTAATTTTGAACACACAGCAGCCACACGAACTTAATGGCTGTTTAGACAATCAAATATATTTGAAGAACATGCCTTTGAATATTTTAAAATATCAAAAAGGGAAAGTAGAAAAATTTAATTTGCTATTTGATAGATAGAAAGATTTTTTTAAACATTTAATTTTTAATTATCTTTATAATGTCAAGAACGTTGGTTAAATAGAAAATATTTTACATAAAAAAGCAAAATAGTGGGACTATTTGAAGTAATACAGATTTTGTATTGTGCATTTAAAATTAAGAAAACTTATATTCCTAACCAATAAACTAAAAGTATAATTGCTTTTAAAATAATGATCAAGTTTTTTTCTTATGACTTCTGCAATTTGTTTCCCTTTTCTTTAATGTGTTGTTTGTAAAACAAAGAGGAAATCCAGGAATGCTATTATATAGAAATCCGATCTTTGGAGAAAAAGGTTTCCAAATGAAGATGAAATAGTTCCCTTTTTTTTTGATACTTATGAAAATTGTACTAATACTATAGAGATCATGAAACTCGTCCGATTAAAAGGGATTGAAAGGACAAAAATAAACTATTTAAGAATCAACTCACTAGGATCTCAAAAATCTAGATCTAAAGCAACTTTTCTAAAATAAACTGTTGATACCAAAATTGCTCAAAAACTAAGCAATATTTTAAAAAACAATTTTGGAATCTAGCGAGTAATTTCAAAAATAATTTAAATTGTTATAAATGTTGTTATAGTAGTAAACAATTTTGGCAACACAAATGGTACTTCTTCTATATGTATGTTTAAAATATATTCCTCGTAAGGAAATGATACTCAAATACAGATTTACTTGAACAATAAAGTATTGTAGATATTCCGAATGCAAGGGACTCAATGTAAATACTGTCTGTAGCAAAGAGTCAAAGCTTTAGCAAATTTGTGGGAAAAACTTGGAGTTGTCTGAACACATTCAATCGACAATCTTTTGACCTTCGCTGGCTAACGCCCGCCCATAGACCAAGCCACCAACTGGCCGGCTGGCTGGCTGGCTGACTGGCTGGCTTGGCTTGGCTGTCTGTCTAGCAGCAGCAGCTCTATGTGCCAGTCTGGACCAACAAAGCCAACAAAATAACAAGCCAGCTTGGACTTGGTCGGAGACAGAGCTAGAGACGCCGGGCCAGAGCCACACTTGTGTCGTGTTTCAGTCGCAGCCAGACTCAGACTCAGTCGCAGACTTGGTCTCAGTCTCAGTCTCAGCCTTCAGCTTGGACCTCAGCTTCAGCTTCAGATTCAGATTCAGCATCAGCTTCAGTTTCAGTTGCGCCTGCGCACTCGACGCTTTCAATGGCGTTATTTATGTTTATTACCTCTAAGGTCGTTCGTTACTTGCCGCCACCGCCGCGTCGTTGCTATCGAAGTAGTTGCCTGCTCTGGCCCGGCTTGGCCTGGTCGGGTCTGGGCAATATTTGTGCTTGTTGCACTTGTAGTTGAGCTTGTAAGAGTTGTTGTTGTTGTTGTTGATGTTATTGTTGTTGCTGTTGTCGTTGGTGTTGATACTGTTTTGTACGCAGATATCAGTAAATTTAGATTTAAAGTGAATGCGCGCGTTAAGTGTCAAACGCGCCAAGTGTCAAAAGACAAGTGCTTGTTGCAGTTGCTGGTGCTGGTGCTGGAGCTGGAGTTGGTGTGGTAGTTGTTGCCTTAGTTGGTTGACTCTGTGGCAGGACATGTGTACATATAACATGGCATCAGAGTGACTGTTTCCACCTGTTTGTGTTGTTCTTGTTGTTGTTGTTGTTGTTGTTGTCAATGCGCCAGTTACAGTTATAAAACGCATGCCATATATGGCCAAAAAGCATAAATTACCAATAGGCTCATAAAAAGTTAAAGAAGTGCCGCGACCTCTTTCTTTCACTTCATCTCCATTGCTAAGGCTTGGCCTGCTTGTTGTTGCTCCGGCTGGCCCGGCCTGGCCCGGCCCAGTCCATCCATTGTTGCTGTTTCTTTATTTTTTTGTTGCTCCCACATGGCCATTGGCCATGGGATTGTGTGTGTGTGGTGTGTGTGTGTGTGTGTGTGTGTGCTTATGAAGACATTCAATAAACTCGCATATTTTATGCCAAAACGCACAGATTTTGTGCTAATTTTATCACTTTGTGTGTCGCTCTGCCGTCCGACTGCCGTTCGCTTCTGTCACTACTTTGACAGCACATAAATACTCATAATTTATTAATTTCTCAAATGGCAACTGAACGATGCAGGCGACAGCGACAGAGACGGTGAAGGCGACTGCGACTGCGACTGCGACGGCCAATACGGTAAATGTTGCATGCAATAATTTCATGCGACAAAAGGCAGGCAACAGGCAACAAGTGGTGGCCATGGGTGCGTGGCATGGCCAGACTCGGCTCGGACTCGTACTCGGACTCAGACTCAGACTCACACTCACACTCGAACTCAATTCAATTCCATTTGCAGCTGCAACGCTCTGGCCGGCTACCGAGCTTCTAAAAACTAAAAATGAACTTAACTGGAGCAGAGCAGAGCACAAAGGTGCATAAATAATAATTTCATCATTGTGGCCAGTTTGATTTATTTTGTTCGAACGAGCGACCCATAAAAGGACCGGGCCACTGACTTTGGGCCATGGCTAAAGTTTTGGGATTGCCATTTTTCGGACAGCTCTGCTGAGTTCGCACATTTCGCTCTCTCGTTCTCTCTTTCTCTCTCTCTCTCTCTCTCTCTCTCCTGTCATAATCGTGAGCGATTTATTGTCATTGCCTTGATTTATGCTGAATTCTCTCTTTGGTTCACACGCCAGTTCCAATTGCACTTACTCGGGCTTTTAACAGAAAACTCCAACCATCCAACCATCCAACCAACACTCCATCCACACTCTCCACTTGCCCCATGGCTTGGATATATCTCTTGCATCGTGCTAATTCAATTTTGGTTGCCTTCCAAATGGCAGCATGTCACTTGGCTTGTCACTGTTTCAAAGCTTTCAGCTCCATTCCTTTCACTTACCCTCACATCAACCACATGGTATTACAATTTATAAATGAGTTTTGTATACAATAATGATCTGATTCTATTATAGCAGCACCGATTATGTACGGGAACACCTTTTTAGAGTTCAAGAATGACAGATGTAGGCAATTTATAGAGTTGACTGAAAACATTTTAAAAGTTTCTCATCGCCACTCAGTTGTGAGCAGCAATTACAAATTGCAGTACCAATATCAGAAAAGTCTTTGAAATTTCCGAACATTTAAAGCGATACAAAAATTCGGGAATAGAAAATGAAAATTGTCAAGTGACTCAAGAGAGTTCTCTTACTGGAATTCAAATTTTTCGCCACCGGGTTGTGAATGTTCCTTTCTTTTCTTAATTAACATAATAAGCTCTTAATTAGAATTAAGTTTGCTTCTTTTCTTACATTTCTTTTTGGTGTGTTAGGTCTATAACGTGAAGGTCTCCGACAACATTTGGCCGTGAATGACTGGCGAAATGGCTAATGAAGTTCCCCCATAGATAAATAGATAATAGACATTGTTGTACATTTGTTTTTAAAGCTCTCCTTTTTAATCAATATAATTTATTGTAATCTGTATCGATAGCCTATATTTCTTGAAGTAATAATAATAGAACAAAAATATAAATATTTTAGCTAAAAAGTTTACATTTCAATGACATTTATTGTTTCATCATTTCTCTATCTTGAGGGTCATCAATTGTTTGAGTGACTTAGGCTATGGATAGATCGATGGTAATTCAAAATTATTGCTGTATAGTGACAGAGTATTTGTTATTCGATTGTCAGAGATGAGAAATCGAAATTCTGTTTCTGATTCTCTACTGCTCTGTGTCTTTTCTTTTGGCAGCACTGCATTTGGAGGAAAGACAAAAGGCGATGCAATTGAAAGACACATAAGGCGGCAACGCCTTCAAACTTTGCGTGCGCGCAGTAGTTTGCAAATATTTATAGCAATAATTTATTGTAGTTTGGAATTTATTGTGTCTATGGCCGTGCGACACGTTTCAATTGTTCATCTTGGCACGCTGTTAGAAGAATTGTTGCGCCATTGAGCAATGGAGAGAAACACTTAGCGTGCCGCCAACACCGCCGCCGCCGCCACCACCATCCACCATCCACCAGCACCACTCGTCCGCCGTCGCCACCGGCAACTCGAACGTAATGTGGCGCAGTATTTGACACTTGCGAGATTTATAGCCGCTTCAGCCAGCAAAAGCAAAGATGCATTTCTAAGATGCTTGCGACAATTTGCGAGAAAACTATGCAATGGCAGTCGGGCAGGCAAGCAGGCAGGCAGAACGCTGGCTGAGGGGCAGGGGGGTGGTGGCAGCAGAGCCATCGGTAAGGAAGAAAGGATGGGCAGCATTGCGTTTGCGGCCATTGCCGTTTGGTCACAATACTAATGGAATCTTAATTTAGCCAGCACCGAAATAAAAGCAAGCGCAAACATTAAACAGAAGAAGGAACAGCAACAACAACAGCAACACTCACTGCCAAATTCCATGCCGGTTGGAGCACCCTCGAAAGCAAACATTTTGTCCAACCAAAAGGGTTGCCATCGTTCGGCCACTGAACATTTCACTCGACTTGTAAATTGAATTAAAATGATTGCGCTGATGAGCGTAAAGTGGCGAGGGACGCATATTCCTGGCTACTGTTTGTCAGCAGCAGCAACAACAACAACGGCAACAGCAACAGAAATTGCAGTTGCAGGTGTTGTTTGGTCAATTTCGTAGCTCCGTCAATGCCAAAAATTAACGCTGCCAAGCAGCGCAAGAAG